AGATCGGGTTAATATAATTAGAACTTGGGTAGAAGAGCCTTTGTAGTATTAACATAGGAATATAGTTAATCTCTTAGGTAGCTATTATTGAGATTTGTGCTTCATGTTTTGCTCTAGATTTAAGTGGGTAGGAATACAATAATTAAATCTAGAGTATTAGAATCGTAATACACGCGGAAGCGGGTTATGATTAATTTAACATCTCGGGTTAGTAATCCGATTTAATAACTTGCATAATTGAAGGAATTGGGGAATTAATAATCACATAGGGGGAGAATAAAATCCTGGGCTTGTTTTCTCTGAATAAATCTTCGTTTTTAATTGCTTTTATGCTATTCTTTGTTTATTGTTTTTAAAAATTGTTTTAGTTTAATTTAGTTTAATTAATCAACTTTCGACCGTGTAGGGTGGGCTTGAGCATAATTTATAAAATTTGGCGTCTAGGATTAGATAATTTAATATTATCTGTGGGATCGATATTCTTGTCCACAATATTACTTGTTTGATATGTGCACTTGTATGTAGGTAAAACCATCAACACTATACATTTTTGTTGTTTGCTAATCCTTTTATCTCTATCTTTGATCAGCTGATAGTAGCTAGGTTCCACAACACTATCTTCTTGTGTTATTTCATCATTCTCAACAATTTCTTCATGTTTTCTGAATAATGATAATACATGGTCTCCACCTCAATCTGGTCATTGTATTTCAACACTAAACATTACTAATTAAGCTTTTATGGGAAGCAACTTCAATTCACCTTTTGTAACCATTTACTCCTTCAGTATATCCTAATAAGATACACTTATTTGCTCTACCTTGCAACTTATCCTGCTTGATATGTGCATCAGCTGAGCACCCAAATATCCTAAGGTGACTGAGATATGGCTTCATTCCTGTCCATATTTCTTGTGGACATTTGAATGATAAAGTTGTAGAGGCACATCTGTTAATTAAGTAACTGGTCGTCTTGTCAGTTTCTGCTCAAAAACTCTTTGTTAAACCAGTTGTAACAACATACACCTTACCCTATCAAGTAGTGTTATATTCATTCTTTCAGCTAAGTCATTCTGCTGAAGTGTGTCTCTAACTGTCTTCTGTACAAATTGTAAACCATTGTCAGTTCTATTCTTCTTTACCTTCTTATTAGTTTGATTTTAAACTAGAGTCTTCCATACTTTGAAAGTCTCAAAGGCTTCACCCCATGTTTTCAATAAGTAGATTCATACTAGGGACATAAAATACATAGCTCCTCCCAATGTTTGAACTCTAGATGGTCCTCATAGATAAAAAATGCGAATAGTCTAGAATTCCTTGTATAGTGTGGACAAATATATTAAACTTCAGCATCTTGCTCTTGCCAAAAACACAGTTCTCACAAAAGGCGCACATATCTTGTTTACTCATGTCTTGTAGACCTCTTTCATTGGTGTGGCCTAATCTCAAGTGCCACATATTTATGTTGTCATTTTTTGCCAGTGCCATAGTACTAGTTGCAGTTCTTACTTCTAGAATATACACACCACTTCTCCAAATTCCCTTCATTATGTTTAGAGAGCCAACAAATACCTTTAATATCCCACTTCCTCTCTTGAAAGTATTTCCTTATGAATCAAGTTGTTCAACGAAGATAAGGTTTCTTTTGATGTCAGGAACATACCTTACTCTTTCCACTGTTCTCAATTGCCCATCATACATCTTGAAGCTAATAGATCCAATTCCTTTCACCTTGCAAGGTTCATCATTTCCAAGTCTTGCAATACCAGCTTCAAATGCCTTTCACCTTTGTCAAATCCAGGACAGATTTGGTGTCATGTGGAAAGAACATCCAGAATCTAGAATCCACTCATTTGAATTTTCAATACATGATGCAACAAGTACATCTACAGAGTCATATCCATCTGAGGAGGCCACTGAAGTATCTCCCTTCTAAGAGTGCCTATCATTTTCAGTCTTCTTCATGTCTAGAAAATTCCTTCTCATGTGACCATCCTTTTTGCATTTCCAGCTCTTCCTAGTACTTGGTCCCTTAGATCTTAATCTTCTCTTTCCTCTTGCTTTGAAATTTTCCCTCTTATTTGATCTTCCTCTTACCATTAGTCATTCTCCAGTGCTTTCCCCTTTTAGATATGCCCTTCCTTGAAGGTCTTTGGAGTTTAAAGCACTTTTGACTTATGTCATGGTAAGAGTCTGCTTAGGTAGTCATCATAATGTCAACAAATTGTTCATATGCCTTAGGTAGTGAACTCAAGAGAATGACTGCTTGATCTTCGTCCTCAATTTTTACATCAACAACATTTAAATCAATGATGATCTTGTTGTAGTCATCCAAATGTTTTCTCATCTCCTTCCCTTCATCCATATTCAAAGTATATAATGATTCTTCAAGTAAAGTCTATTGGCCAGAGATTCTTTCATATAAAGCCTCTCCAATCTCCAAGGCTCAAGATCAAAGCACTACGTGCTTTTGAGATGATCTCAGATGCAATCTTCTTGTCAAGGGATGCCATAGCTTCTTCATTCATTGCAGCTGCTACTCCCTATTGCACCAAGAGAGCTTTGATGTTGATTCTCTAGAGATTGAAATCATTTTGCCCGGTCAACTTTTCTAGATCAGCCTTGACACTCATTTTAATGGAATTGAATGAATTTGTACCTTGAATTTCTTGACCGAAATTCAAATAATTCACTTTTGAGATGATCTCTGTGTTGAATTGAATCTTCAGTTGCAGAGATCTAGCTTTCTTCTACGTTCACCGCACCAATTGATGTGAAACACAAACCAACTCTCAAGTAATTCAAGAACAGCAGTATGCAATAATATAGCCTAAGAACATATAACGAATTGATCAAACTTGAAACAATTAGAACACGAGTGATTTATAGTGGTTCAGATCTTTGCAGATCTTACATCCACTTGAAACAACAAAGAACTTGTTTTATTTACCAATCTAATGAGTATAGAACCGATTATAGAATCACACATACTCTCACAACAAACACTCAGAAACTAATGGAAAACCCTAACTTTATGTATCCAATGAACATATCTAGTAAGCTTGATCTAGGGTGTTTGTCTCTCCAGTTTTTGTTTTTACAAAGTGTATATCCTCTCGTGATCAGTGACTTGTTATTGAGCAACCAATGATCACTAAATTGTTATTGAGCAACCAATAAATATAGAAGAACATGCCTCAATCACCTAGAATATGAAGTTTTGTACTTATTTAATTTTATTTAAAAATATTTTTTTTGTAAATATAGTATGTATTAGTAAAATCATACGTAATCACGTGCAACGCACGTGGTGCTTGCTAGTAGGACGAAAAGAGAAAACGAATAACACAACACAAGCAAGCCAGGTTGCACTACGGATGGCAAAAAAACCCGAACTGCTAGCTATCCACGGGCAGTGGCGAATCCAGGATTTTTGCCAAGGGTGTTCGAAATTAAATATAGTAAAAAATATAATGATTGGCTAATAGTTTACGGGGGTTCGGGGGCTGCGCCCCCGAATTTTTTTTTTTTTTGAATACTATACACATTAAATAATAAAAAATCTTTAAAATTTTTAAATTTAAAGGGATTATTTTAACATTTTTGGGCAAATTTAAGAAATATTTAGACATTAAATTGGTGAAAATATTAAACGAGTGGTAAACATATTATAGTTGCAAGTGACAAAATGTACGTTTCATTAGCAGATTTTGAATTTTCAAAAAGAAAAAAAAAACCCACATAGTTGTAAATATAGGAAAAAAAATTGAAATAATACATATATATATTCAATATTTAGAATTTTGGAATAATTTATATTATATTTAATATTAAAGAAATGGTAAATAAATTAAAGTTACAAGTAGCAAAATATATGTTATATTAGGAGATTTTTTTTAAATATTAAAAAATACCTACATATTCAACATTTATTAAAACAATTGAAATACTGAATTTTGGAATAATTTATATTATATTTAATATTAAAGAAATGGTAAATAAGTTAAAGTTACAAAAATATATGTTATATTAGGAGATTTTTTTTTTTAATATTAAAAAATACCCACATATTCAACATTTTTTAAAACAATTGAAATATTGTATGTAATGGAAAATTAGGAATAAAAAAGAAACAATAATAGAGAGGTTGAGACTCTCAGGTTTCGAACCCTGTACCTCGGAAGAATTCTATAGAGCACTTAACCTGTTAAGCTACAGCATTGCATTGGCAAGGTTTTACATTTGCAGGTATACATTGATAAATATATAGGAAATAATTTTTTTTTTAAAATCAAGGGTGTGCAGTAGCACACCCTTGGACCACACTAGATACGCCACTGTCCACGGGTATCCGCTCCGTTTAAAACCCGTTACCGAAACCATTAGGGTTTGGTAATGGTTTTGGTAAAAGAAAAACTTTTTTCCGTTCAGGGGGTAAAGCGCAAAAACGTCCAAAGTTTAGGGGATTTTTTGCAGTTAATATATATATATATATATATATATATATATATATATATATATATATATATATATATATATATATATATATATGTATTAATTCAACAATAGGAATAAAAAAAAGGGCAAAATTAAATAAAGTATTAAATAATTTAGGGAGGATATATGTGTATAATTTACTTTTTTTTCTTTTCTTTTCTTTTTTCCTCTTTTCTGAGAGTTACTTAAACATTATCGGACCTAAATTTATTTTTTATTTCCATAATTTAAATGGTAAATGGGTACCTGTGGATACCCGGATATTCGTGGTAATGGTTGTGGTATTTTCATTAACGTTTTAAAAGAGTTTGGTACGGTCATGATTTGAGCTATATTAAATGGTAATGGTTATGGTATTGCACTTTTTCGAGGGTACCCGCTCCGCTGCCATCCCTAGGTTGCACGTGGTGCTTGCTGGTAGGACGAAAAGAGAAAATGAATACCACAACACAGGCAAGCCAGCCAAACAAGTGAATCCTCGGAAATTTACACAATATTTCTCCACGTGAAGTTAAAAAAATCCTGATTTCTGTGTACTAGCACCCAAAACAAATATATATATATACACCATAATATCTGAAATAAATGGAGAAAATGTATAATATGAGCATAAAAGTCACATGAGGCCTTTCGTGCAACAAAACTTTGCCTATTCATCGTTGTTTTAAAAAAATACAAATAACCAGTTCACGCGCAAAACTTTCATGTTTCATCGACATCAATAGAAGTGAATTTGGCATCATCGTGTCAAAATTGCATATGAAGTCCCCTCAAAAGGCAAATATTTTTTATCATTTCAGAACTCACTCTATAAGGGGGGTTAATCCATCTCCTTCCCATCCCAGTTTGAGCATGTGATCGACAACTTTTAAGCTCAACTGCAAGGAACATAGATTAATTATATTTCCTTCAAATAAGACACTAAGTACAAGTCAACATATCAGATAACATCGGCAAATTGAAAAAATAAAAAAAAAACAATGAACAAACAGTATCCTTCTCAGCTTAAGGGAATCATCTATACATACGATGGGATGGTATTTTTTTTTATTTTTTTCCAAATTTAAGGGGACTCAGGAAACCATGCGAATGCATTTTATTTCTTGAAAGAAAAATGAAAATGAGATAGAGATAGAATACACTGCCACATGTCAACAAGTGCTTAGATACTTGAATAAACAATTTTCTGTAGGTCAGAAATGCAAAAGATGATACAGGGTGATTTTGATAAGAGAATGGTATGTATTCAAGAAATCTTAAAGCACACACTTCCAGACATAGATGTGCAGAAAATTAGTAACAGATGGATAAGAAATGCAACTTACAGAAGGATCTGTGAATATTATCAATTGTCTATTTGCTGTTGACACCAAAAGATTTGTACTATCCTTATTCAAAGCGACAGTGGTAATATCTTGTCCTTGTGCAAGTTTCAACGTATGAAGGACCTGCAAAAACAAGAAACTTAATTTCGTGCATTGGTCACAAACACGGTGCTTTAGTTAAAGTTTCTTCCTTACCTTGAGAGTATAGAGATCAAAGAAGCAGATACAAGGTAAAGGTAAATCCAGTCTATTCGCTTCATCAACTTGACAATCTTCATTCCCATGTCTTGCAAACTTCAAATCAGAGCTTCGGTCATTTTCCCTAGATGGGTTTAGTCCAACCAAAGCACTACAACCATCGGCAGAAACCTCAATACAGCTAACGCTCGACGAAAGCGGAAGCTGTTTCTTAGCAATCAGGGTCCCGTTAAGAGTAAATGTGGTGAGAGTAGAAAGATACTTGTTCCAGGTCATAATAATCCCATCAGGCGATAGGCACAAAGAGTGAGCTTCAACACCAGAAAGCCTTGTAATGATTCGTCCACGCCTTATAGAATGAATCAAGACATCTGAAGAATTGGAGCATGAAGCAACAATTCCAAGGTCAGAACTAACTGCACAGCATGTTACTTCACTTAGGTGACCTCGAAGGACGTGCAAGGGGCCCTCGATTCGGCGACTTTTACTATTCCTGTCTGATGCTAAGTTGTTTCCAGTTATGGATGTGGGTGTGCCTGGATTGCTGGAAGGTTCCGAAGAACGTGAAATGGATGAACGATGTATTCTCCAGACTATAAGTGTTGTGTCTCGAGAACCAGTCACAAGATAGTTGCTGTCAGGGGATATAGAGAGGCACGTCACTGGACCAAAATGCCCTCTCGCTACTTCCAAGGTTTTTGCTCCATCGGCTGAAATCAGCTTAATGCTGTTATCTACATGCCCTCCTGCCATCATACAAGAACAACATCTTGGAATTAAAACAAAGAACGTATGGTGAAGCCACAATAATATCGGAATAAATGCCAGAACTAGCTAGAGAGCCTATGTGCAGAATTGTTTTTAGCAGGGGGCAGACCATCAAAATGTAAGTCTTGAATTAGGGAATCACACATATGCAACAGCACGTAATTTAACGAGAAGGGAACATCTTAGGCAATAATATGTCTTATTCTTTTAAAAGGGGTTTTTAAATCTGAATGTAGAATAGAAACAGCTTGGACAGTGGGCAAATAAAAAATTCCAGAAATACATACATTTATTATATGATGACAAGTAGATGTTTTCAACAGATTGCTGAAAATATGCAAGCAACTTTAGCTTATACACGTACATCAAACCCTGTTACTGTTCTCAAGTACTCATCAAGTATCAAGGAACACTGAATTTTAGAGATCCTTAATAATATTTTAATTAAACGTTACTTGCACATTGGCATGAGATAGCACTCTCCAGAAAACTAAAACCCGTATAAGCCAAAGAATCCTAGGATTGCAAGAGAGAACACTCACAGTGCCCTGACTATATGCGTTTTAAATTCAGTAGCTTATAAATCAGCCTATCAAGGAAACTTCAAAATATCAATCCAAAAACTGAAATGGATGAGAATCCTAATCACCTGTACCAAAGATGCCTAAGGTTGCATCAGATTTAGACCTAAGGATTTCGAACTGGGAGGATATCAAATGCATCAAAAGAGAAGAAATAACAAAAGCTTGAAAAGTTACTATGAAATTCAAATGGAACTCTCTAAAAGAAATTGCAACGGATTTCCATTAGGCTTTATTTGGATTGAGTGGTTCAAGCTATAAGGATTTCAAATTCATAATAACAAGTCCAATCATTTCATTCCAATGAATAATTTCAAATTCCAAACTCTCAATTTGAACTATATTTTGAGTAACTGTGTTGGACTTAAAATAAAATCCACGTCACATGTGAAGTCATCAGAAATTATTTTCTCAAAATCAAAATCCTTCAAACACTCTAATGAGGCAGATGGCAGAGTCTGTGCTCCTAAACTTCCAACAACATAAGAACAATTTATCCCACAAATTTCACACTACTTTGAATTTGGAGGAATTAAAACAAAATTACTCACAGAGCACTTGTCCTTACCAGTGATTATTTCCTTGTTACAAGTGATTGAAACTATAGCACTGCTTCGGATTCCAGAAGTTGGAAATGCCAGTGCCTGTGGAAAGTGCCACTCTTCTGATCCAGAGGCCGTTGGCCCTTTAAACATTCGCATAAAAGCTCCACCAGCAGCACCTGCATCAGGTTTCCCATGCTCAAAAAGGAAAGGTGCACCCTGTCCATCAGGTGTGTTTGGTTGCCACTTATGTTGTGCTATGTGTGCTGCCGGAGCATTTACATCGACAATTATAAGAGAGTCCGAAGATGCATGAATGGCAGAAGCAGGCAGATTGCAGCGTTCCGGGTAGGGAACCATGTACGGCCTAACCTCCCTCGGATTCCGGAAAATGGTCTACGTACAAGAATACAATCAGATCCACAGTACTAGCCTCGTCTAAGATGAATATAATTATGTATACGAGTTGGAGAATGGTTATACAAGTTACTATACTTCATGAAACCACAACTTTTTCATGTCTATAACTTTACTGTAACCTGGGAGTGAAAACAACTAATATTTACAACCAAAAACGAAAACGAAGTCATCTACTAATAAAGGTTAACTAGTTTCAGAACACGACAAGAAGATTGTAAATATTATATGGAAGCCACGCTTTCACTCATTGTACCCTTAATACAAGCGACTTAAAACAAAAATGCAGTTCTGTCAATACGTGTCCAAATAGCCTATACAAGTTCTTGTCAAACAAAATGTATAACCCACATAAACAGAGTGGTTCTTTTGAACTTCAGTCTTTCATTAGAGATTCACATGTGACATCATCAAATATTTCTATTGTCTTTTAGATTGATTATTCCAAACTCCTAACTCTAAGCACTTAAATTAAGAACAAGTTTTGGGAGGACATGGATGCAAGACAGGGAGGAATAGATAAATTAAAAGCCGTTTCATAACTTAATGCATGTCCCCATTCAAATTATCAGGTCAATTCCAAATTTTGAGTAGATTTCAGAAAGTAGCTACATAATTCATTGACTTAAAATTTACAAAGGAAATTATTAAAACATTTTTAGATTTTAGTTTGATTCAATGTTACGCAGCAAGAACAGTCCAAATAAATGAATAATAATTGCACCTCACAACAGATCAAAAGGTCACCTTATTGATTCAAAAGCTATAAAGGATATCATCGTCAGGCAAAATGTGAAAATTTCATTCCAGAATCTCAATTGATAAAATATATCATACTGGAAACGTGAACAAATAGGACTCGCTACAGTTTTTTTCCCAGTTAGATAATACTTGACTTTGAATTTGAGTTTGTTGAAATCAAGCAAAGTTCGAGCCTGGTCCAACATTTTCGCAACATTGTTCTTGTTTGATAGTCTAATTAATTCAATTATTTTTAGTTTATGCTATCACCAAAAGCGTTCATGTATTAACTCAGAATAATAAAAGCTTTGGACATCCCTCAAAAAAAGAAAAGAAAAAAAAAGCTAGTGGCTGCAAACATCTTCTCGACAACCTTCAATTTCTTAAAGGCACCAGGACTTTTTCCTTTACCAAATTTCTGACTAAACTATCAGATCTTCTGTTAATTGCCATGTGTATGTGCACAAGGAGAACAATAAAGGAAAAGAAGTGTCTAGAAGTTGGGGAATTGGAGGTACCTGCATGTGAAGAACGTCTGCCAGAGGCATCCGTTTCATGTGAGGTGTGGTTAGAAGTTGAGATGGGGTTTGGCCGAAGTACGAAATTTGATCTTGGGCAGCACGCTGTTGTACCTTTTTAAATATTTACCAAAACACAAGTAATTGCTATTTAAGTGCAGGAATTATTAATGCCAAAGGTTTGAAAAAGATGAAGCAGAAAGCAACTCACTGGATCCGATATTTTATCAATATCTACAGTTCCTTCATACGTAATATAAAAGAATACGTTATTTGCCTGAATAGCTTCTTTTCCACGTTGTTTGTATCTGAATATGTAGAAATTGTGAAAATCAGCTTAAGAAATTTTGAGAGAGAGAGAGAGAGAGAGATCATATTTTAAAACTGAGCTCAAAATACAAAGTAAAATACCCAAATATAAGATCAATCCATTCATGCAAATGTTCTGAGACATGCTCACTCTCAAGAGCCATCCGATGCTTATGGACAAAGTCAACTTCATTTTCAGCCCATGGAGGAAGTCGGACTGAGCCTGCAATGTGAAGAGACAAAATTAAAATAACAGAAAGCATTCATGTATTACTCAGAAAGCAATACCACTCTACTTTCTACTGGAAGAAAGCAACTGAAATGCATACCAAGCTTTGCACCAAGTTGTGTTGTACCAAAGTCGATAGAGTTTTCATTGGTCAAAACCTCTGAGAGATAAAATAGCTCAGGAACCTGACATCCAAAAATAGAGAAGTGGCATTATCATATCAAAAGAGCAAACACATGCTTAAATCCTGGAAAAGGCAAAAAACAGAAAATGCCTAATAGTAGATAAAAAACAAAGAAAAATCTAAAAATCACACAAACAAGCTCAGGTTAAAGTGAAAAGAAAAGAGAGTTTATCAGAAAATTACCCCCGCAATTATATGACTATTTACAGAAAATAACCCTGAAGTTACGAATATATTGCACCTCATCAACTATCCTAAAATCTGATGTCAGCTAAGAAATCGAAAAACCAAACTTTCCTCCGGAAGTACCATTCACTAAATATCTTGACAAGAATGCCCTTGGAGCTATTTGTAATGTTTCATAGTACTCAAGGGATTAATGGTTACACTTTTATCTACATTATATGTAAAGAGGCTATATGTTAATGATCTTATATATATTTCTGTACATTTCTCAAATATAGAAATTTCGATAGAAACTATTTATGTTGGATTCTTCTTCCCGATGTTAAACTCCATCACAAATTCAACTAATTTAAAAAAATTAAATTACACACAAGTAGAAAAACTTATATATTCTGCACCAAGTGTAATTCAAAATATCAAACATTTCTACAAATTAAGAAGACAAAGTTTGGTTCGACAAATTAAGATGTTTACCAATTCCTTTACGTCACTCATGTCCTCAAGAACTCCATTCCAAGTTGCGGCAATGTCCAAGAACATTCTGTCAGCATGATCAAACTTGCCACCTTGAAGTTGGATGGAGAGGGTGGTAAAAGGTTCTACTCTTGTGAGGTAATACAATACCTGCCACAGAAAGAATAGCAAATCAAGCCTTCTATGCTTGTTGATTTACTACAAAAACTACCAAGGGGAGTTGAATTGAATGATAGGTCAATATTGAAATGCTCATTTGCATTGAAAAGTTCAATAAATCAAATATCAAATAACAATATAAATATCTAAATGAAGTTTCTGTGGCAATAAACTCAGCATACTGGTTGAATTTGATTTTGTTAGTTCATTTTTAACTAGTGAGAGCACCACCTAGACCCATCAACAAGTGGATTTAAACAATTAAATTCATCAGTCATTCATCACAAATGTAAAATCCATGGTTCCTCCACTAGGTCATGCTTTTCTCCATTGGAGTAGGACCATGGCATTCTCTAGATTGCATCTATAGATAAAATCAAGAATTACTTGTCAAAAGAGAATTGATGCGAATGCTATCCAACTGCCCTGGCAATTCTGTTTCAAGATTGTGGCCTGGGTGCTTACAAGAATCATAAAAATGTTTAATACAGAAAATTGGATGAATGGTCAAGTATTTGTTTCATGCACAGACACAGTCATAGTAATAATAAAGATTTCAATAAATACTGTGTGATACGTGCAAAAAAAGGGAATATAAATAACGAGAGAACCCACTGTTCCAGCAGTGGAATAATGTGAGCCGTAATGGAATTTGGGGATGACTGGATCATCAAAGCTGGAGTATCTCTCTTGGAATTTTTGTAGTCTTTCAGCATTCAGGGCACCAATTGGCTGTAATACAAAGCGTTAGATGAAACATTGAAACATATAACAATTTCCAAACTAATTCAAATATAATCCCACCTTTGAGAGGTCTCGAAAAGAAGAAGGACTTGAAAGATCCAAATTTTGTGAGCTGTAATCAGAAAGGATCCACGGGAATACAGGATACTGCACAAACAGAATTTTTTTTTTTTTTTAAAAAGAAAAAAAGAAAAAAAACAGTAAGGACATCAAAGTTATTCTGTCATGATATATAATGGAGTATTCTCAGTAAACTCTTTACCTGTGTAATATCATTATAGCTGCGTCCAGCCAATGTGTTAAGCTGCATTAAATATTCGAAATTGCTAATCTGCAAACAATTAACTATTTAGCTTATTATCCACAAAATAGACAATTTAAGTTAAACAAAGTAGACGAAATAAATTGTGCTTAGGTGATTCTGCAAGCATACCTCCCACCTAGCCCAACGTTCCATAAGCTGAGTTCTTTTTAGAAGCTGTTCAGGTCTCTTCAGAATAGGATAACATAATATAAGATTTAAAATACTACATGATAAGGCTAAAGTCAAATCTCAAAACATCAAATCCAAGAGTCTAAGAGTCTGTCTTAAATGCATGTAAATTCATGTTCATTGAAGAACAAAAGACTTTATTTGTTAGTATAAGAGGTAGAAAGACCTGAGTTGCAAGGTAGATATTATTCAAGTGAGGAGGACGGGCTTGAACAATAGCTCGATATGCATTTCTTCGTCCCTCAGTGTTCTGCAGTTAAAATAGTTAAAGAAAAAAATTGAACTAGCTGAAGAAAATCATAAGCGAAAGACTCTGAATAACATATGCGTTCACGGGACATACCCCAAAATCAAAAAAGTAATTTGACCGGTCAACCATGAACAATTCCAGTGCACTTCTTCTCAAAAGGTACCTGTCAAAACAATGATCCAATAATTCACGTACCACAAAGAAAGTCCCCACACCTAGCCCTCTTATCAACAGTGAAATGAACAAACAGATTCATGAATAGGAAAGGATGTAAGAGAAGAAAATTTTAAGACCTGTTCGATGGGGAAAATAACCTTTTTGAAGTCATTATGAATAGATGTTACTTATGGTTAACAAGAAATACTCAAGGAACTACAACTTTAGGAGAACTTCAAATCACAAAGTCCCTTTTTCTTATAATTATAACAATAGAATCTTAAAGATTGTGAATTACAAGCAGTATTCCTGGCTTAAGGAGAACTTCTTCAAGGGTATTATCAGTTTGAAAAACAAATGTCATCTAGCCACTCACTTATACTTCTTGAAGATAGTTATTCGAACATGAAACCTTGGAGACAACAAGTATAATGCTTACAAGCATGGACAAGTGGGATTCTAGGATTTAATTAAAGTTATTAGCTGAAGAGCAGACTGATTACAATAAAACAAAGCCTTCAAGAGTTATAAAGAAAAAATAAAACAGAGGATTATGATTGAGTTGATAACATGCTTATAATATCACCTTCTGCTGTATACTTGGTGAACTGATGACATCAACCAACATTGATCCTTTTCTTGAACTCCATTAACACCATTGCGGTCCATGTCTCCCACAGCACTATTATCCGTGTGATCAACAATAAAATTGATGCTTCTAGTTGTTACCTGACAATATAAATCATTCTAAACCTTCAGAAATACGAAAACTGGAAAAGGTGTATCACAGTTTTGTTGGATTTCATGATAGAAATCAAGCGAAACATAATTTCTCTACGAAGCGAACAGTCTGACTCGATATAATTCTGTAACCTAATACTGTCAACAGGCGGTAAATCATAAGCAAGCACTCCTTTTATTCTCCAACTACCACAGACACATCATAACCTATAGAAAGATCATTACTATTATTAAACATACAATTAATAAACAATGGTGGATGGGGAAAGAAATATGGTATCATCTGCTTATTTTTCCTGGAAAGTTTCTCCGTTTTGAAGTTTTTAAAGGATTCCAATATTTTTAAATTTGAATGGTCCAATGATAGCATTTGCAGCAACGTCAACACCAAAGTTAAATAAGCAACTTTCGAATCAGGATAACAGGCTAGAAGTATATGTTATGCTATAAAAGCATATCCACATTAAGCTATGTCGAACTCACTTGAAAAGTTCCTCTTAGAACCTTTAGTGGACGGACCATCGATGATGGAAGCTCAAGAATAATTCTTTCATTATGCTCAAAAGGAACATAGCCAGGGGCAACAGTTTCGGGGATCGGTGCTGAATCTTGCTCATTAGTAACTGGCGGGTCTGTGGACTCTGTCGAGGTAAATGGCTGCTCACCAGGTCCAAATGGGATGGTCTGAATGTCCCCAGGCTGTTCACCACTTGGGCTAACATCCAAATACGCTGTGTCATGTTCGTCCTCCTCATTTCCTAACTCAGTTGAGATGGCTTCTGCAGCTAAGATGGAGGCTTTAGATGGACTTACACCTTTTTGTTTCTGATCCATATAATCTTCATAATTCGCAGCAGCACCAAGGTGATCTGAACCTTGGTAGTTTCTACGCATAATCCTCCTCATCCTTGAAGAACTTTCCATGAAATCTAGCTTCCAGAAAACCTATCACCACCAAAATTCACAATAACACAACTTTGACTTGTAATCTTCAAATAACACAGATAAGTGCAGGCCAGAAACTTGCCTGCTTAGGATTGCACAAATCTTCACTAAGAGGCCCAAATAGACATTTCATCTCTATCAAGCAGTGGATAAGCTTGCGCCATTCACGTATTCCAGTGTATAATCGATGGTGAGCTATTACATCAACTTGCGACCTCCTGTCAATCTAAAACCATGAAGGACATTTCAGGTAATTGTGAATTGTAACTTCACAAATACAGATAGGTCGTCATTAAAGAATGCAATACCTCAGATCGCTGCATGTTCCTAGCCAAAGCTAAACTTCCGACAAGGACGGCAATATACTTGTAGGAAAGAGCATTGAAATCCTTGGCATATACAGATTTTGAGTCCACCGATTGTAAGCATTCCATCCATGCAACTCCCATAGCTTCAGAAGCATTCCATCTCTTTACGCGTTCAGCATCACTTGAACTCCGACGCTGCGCTGATGTAGCCATTGCCACGGCACTGAGACCTCTCCCTGAGCCAATTTTTGCATTACGCTCAAGGTCTCTCGCAGCAGCCAATGCAGCTGCTTTCGCAGCAGCCTTGTCCTTTGGAACGGCTGGCGATTTGTTCGGTGACTCTAAAGGTTTCTGAAAGCTTGAAAACGTATGGAGTCTAGTGGTTTTCCGCTGAAGTAATGATGAGTCACGCCGGAGATGTGAGGCAGTTGGAGGAGCGGTGGTTTCTCCACCAGCAGCACCAGCTGCAATCATTGCTAATGCTAACGCAGCAGGAGGTGAGGCAAAAGAAGCAGCCCAGCTAGGCGATATCATAGCAAGAGCAGCCTGAAAGATATCAATAAATGTCTAAGGTATTGAATGGAATGAGGAATGCATTATTATATAGAATGAGAGTCAACATTACAATCAAAGGAGAGAGTGTAGCCATTTCTAGAAAGGTCTACAGATTCTAGTGCACATACACAAGAATAAATCAGGTATTATCCTGTGAAAGTGAAAGAGACCAACTTCCATATATTAAAATAGAATCGGATAACCACCTCAACAGGTAAAGCATCTGCAGCCAAGGCACGGTCGTCAGCAACAAGGGGATTTACACCATCTGCAGTAGCAAGTTCGTGAATCCCTGCCAATAGAGGCCGCCATCTTCTTAGAACAGCAACAAAAGGAGGTAAGATGGCCTCCAGATATTGTTTGCGTACAGGACTTCGGTCCTTCCCAATAGCGTGCCACACCTGCAACATGAATGAATACTAGCATCACAACATGCCTAATCTCAACATTTACAATTATGCAAGCTAGGTTATGAACATGCATGATACAGAAGCACCAGTAGAAAAAAAAACTTCCTAGAGAAGGGTGACCGAATATATAAACAAGAGCAGCCTAACAATAGTATAAAACTGACCTCAGAATATAGGACACATGATGCAACCAAAACTCGCTGCCTCTTTGTCTCAGCAATTGGCATGTTCAAGATAGGAGACAAAACACTGTACGTATCAACTGTGTGTCAGCTCATGTTTAAAAATACAATGAAAACCGTGACAGAAATTGCAGTATGCTTGTAGCACATATAAAAGAAACCAAAGAAGCGTGATCCCTTCACACCATGAAAAACTTCACCGAACTCATGTCTATAATATGACTTCTAAGAGCAAAGGATTAGTGATGTTAAGCCATAGTTACTACTATTCAATCAACAAACACTTTCTGCAGGCCAGATGGCAAGAGAACATCAGATTGATGGATGGACTGTACCGAGAAATTTGCATTGTCAAGACGATATTTTTGCAACACAAAGCAAACATAACACAAATTTAACTATCAGCATGACAAAGAACCTTAATGATAAAAAGAAGATTTTTTCCATTTGCAATACTATAATCCATTCTGGTGATTAGAATGGCAGCAGAATTTGATATTCAAGTTGATTAGAATGGTTGACATAAATGGTACCTCCAAAGCAACGCGGATCGTGGCTTTCTAGTCATTCTGGTGTTTTTGTCAAAAGATGCAGCACGATTAGTGTGTCGACGTAAATCCTCTACTAACCCATCTTCAGTACTTGCATGCCTGATTAGCATATGGTTTTCACCATCATCATCCTCCCTTAATGACACAAGCACCATACGGAGCATACAGAGAAATGGTTGGTCGCTATCCAATAACTGGTAAAGTGATGACATGCCTCCCATCCCAGTACCAGACCCTCCACCAATACCCAGACCCCCACCAAGTCCGGACTCATCTAATAGCAAAGCTTGAAGCATGGCAACAGACTTCTTTACTAGTGGAAGTTCAATCCAGTTTCCATCAGCATCCTTCTCTAATGCAGATTTCCAAGATTCCCGACCACCGCCACCTCCACCGAATAATGATGCCTCTAGTGGAAGTCCAACACCATACCACAGTCGACTTCTGTATTTCCATCCTTCAGCTAAATCTATGACACAGCTTCCATATGACACGAAAGCACAGGAAACTGATTCATAAGGTTCTGCTGCCGCTGCAGCAGTCAGTCGTTCCATTACAGCTGTTGAAATTTGCCCATTAGCATCAGCCATTGCAGCAAGAACCTAATCCAAAACAAGAAAAAAATAGTTTACAAGTCAGCATGACTAAAGCTAGAATGTGTACAGAAAAGGCATGTTTATTTATCTTGTACAAAGTTAAGCACCAAAGCTGTAATTTCTTTTTTGGACACACAAAGACAGGATAGTAAACAAACTGACAGAAAGACATACAGGTTAAGATCAAACATAGATAATGTGTCACACAAAGTCTGCGAGAAGGCAAATACTTGCTATTGGAGCATAGTCATTCTGTTTGACAGCAGTTGATAAGGAGAATAAACACTATTTGTCTCATGTGATGAAATTGGATACAAAGAGGAACAAGAAAATAATGGTCATAACATATGCTATTATTTATCTTGGTGCCACTCAGATATATCTCATGACCAGATTTACTCGAATACTCACATTAAGAGGGAGTCCTCCAGATTCACTAGATGATGAATTACGAGATGTAGTTTCTCCATCCTGTGTACTCGTAGAATGGCCGCGTGCAGGCAATACATTTGAAAGTGGGGACACAGTTGTAGTTGGCAAACATGAAGCACTGTAGAGTTTGCTTTGTAACCGCAAATGGTCCTCAACAAGCATTAAGATCACAATTGCATTCTCAACCAAAGCCACAGAGAGCTGAGCAGCATTCTCTGCTCCAATCTTTGCATCTTTAGGTGCCAATCCCTCAGCTGCCACACCAGCAGCTGCTGCAGCAATAACCTGAGTCTGAAGCAATAGAAAAGTTAGGATGCTGACGTTTGTGTAGCATTACAACAATAATACTAATAAAAAACACAGAAGAACATAATACTAATCCTTTTCAAAAACATAAAAGAAAGTAAAGAGCCATACAAAAGAAGAATAAAATTGATCCAAAGAGACAGAAGCATCATGTCAAAGGCAAGGAAAATCTGAGTTAAAGAATAAATGATTGCTAGTTTGTTTAAGATGTAAAAATGATTATTATTTACTAGGAGGGCTGAATCTTTTAGTGGATTACCCCCTGGTTTAACCTTTGAGGCTTCTAAGGCAGGCGGAGGCCTCATTCATAATGGAAGGTAAGAGAGCCCATATATGGGAGTTGCATACACTATTGACACAATATGAATTAGGTCATCAAGTGCCGAGATCAACTACACAGCCAAGGGAAAAATTTATGCCTGTTCTAGTCTGATATGCAAGTCATGTTAAAAGTTTACAGATACCTTAGCTTTGGAACTATTACACTAACCCCCCCGATATGCAGTTGTGTTGCTCAAACTCGGGGAGAGGTTTCAGGTATCCCAATGACTACGTTAGTTTAAGTGTTCATAACAAGCCAAGTTCTAGAATGAAAGACTAGGTCTGAAACTGACAGGATTTTAGATATAGGTGGTCAACAATATGGTAATCTGTCATAAATACATATAAACATATTGCATGTAGAGTAACAGAAAAATGATAAAATCGGCAACTCATTGACAAATCTGGATGTTTACTAGTAAAGAGTTGGTGTAACTCATATTTTTAGACTAATGTTGAGGTGCACAGAACCATATTCATTTTCAATTTAGGGCAGAAGATCATTCATGTCATTAAAAGAAGAATATTGAAGTGGAAGTGGCAAAATAGCGTAGGACAGCCAGCTCTAGCAACTAAACATTAGAGTGTAAACACAGAACTGAAACCAATACGAACTAATACATGGAGAAACCTAAACAGAACTTGCCACAGCAAAAATCAAAAAATTACCTGAGCTAGCAATTCTCTGGCAGCGAAGTCCAGCAAGCCACCTAATAGCCGTCTTTTGAAAATGGGCAATGACTCCTCTCGTCTGTCAAACAAAGTATCAGCCTCTGGAAACTCTAATATCACATTCACAATAATTTGAATTTCCTCATAACATATCAGTTGGTCATGAAGTGTCTATATCAGCATATTGTTTGCCTTGGCATGTTACTATATCCTTAGACCAATATGTTGAGAAACAAAACTACAAGTTTAACCTCACTGAAGTTATTATTCACCAATTGTTTTTAAATTGTTTTATATGATGGCCTCGTGACACGCAAGCATACAACAGGGATTCAGGAACACACACCCCCCCCCCCCCCCCCCCCCCACTACAAGAATGAGACAAGTAGCATTCAACCACAAGGTTAGCAGTTATTATGCACCAAAAGTTCTTAACAAAAGAGTGCTGAACTTATGGATCACAAAGATTTCAGAAAATCCAATCTTACACTACAAGCTTAAGAGTAGAATTATCTAGGCAATACCTGATCCTTAATTCTCCAGTGCTAGAACCACCAACCATAGACAGCCATTCTGCACAATGAATTGTAGCTTCAATATCCTGTTACAGTAATGACCAAATACATGAATGAAACTCAGAAATTTCAAGCTGAAGTTGGAAACAATATAAGCTCAGCCAAAAGAAAAATAATACGGGCAAGAAAAGGACAGATTATATTTCGGGACCAGCAAATTTAACCATCTGATAAACCTCAGTGATCAATTTAGCGCAGTCGGAGAAAAGAAATAAAGTTGAGAGAGAGAAAAGAGAAAACAAAATGCTAAGGTTTTATCTGTATAAACTCTAATGATTCCCCCAAAGATTACATTTGAGTAGGAACATAAGTTCCCGCTATTACACTTACCTTGATTTTCATTTCTTATTCATGACTAGAGGTTGTTGAAGATTATCAAACAAGACATTATTATGTTTATGGAGTTATTCTAGTCAAGTTCACAACTTTGTCAACTTGCAGAACAGATAACTTAAAGAACAACCATTACAGCAGGTGTTTAACCAAAAACATTCCTAAAGAATCTTATCGTCTAATTTAAGTTAAAGCCTCCGAGGTCTTTCCATCATCATGTTATCCATAATCTCAATCTCGATCAGGCTTCCAACATATGATTCACAACCAAAATGTAAATCGGAGTATATTAAGCATGCTACAAGCATCAACTGTAAACGTGATAACACATCTTGCTCCAATTCTGTCATTGAACCAATGCCTGCTTTCTGTGGAGTTCCTAAATATAAAATGATTCACATCACTAACAGCTTAATCTTCTAAATGAAGTGGTCATCAGCATGGTATCACCATTTAGAAAAGTTTCACATGCAATGCTTCATTAAAGTATGGCTTCCAGTGAGGGGGCTTGTAGAGTTGCTAGATATTAAATGATTCACATAAGTAACAAAAAACAACTTCAACTTTTAGGTGAAGTGGTTATTCAACGTCTTTGTTGTCGTATGATTGCTTGAATTTGTAGCCACATATTAAAGATGCCTTATTCTCATCATACTCAATAATCAGGGTACTGCCGTCAAGTACGTCAAGTTATCAGCCTTGCTCGTGTCCTAATAATGCTAGTTATTCAAACTATTCATTTTGCATTTACAAACATTGATGGCAAATATAGGAGTATAATACAAAGAAAAAATGTCAAATATCATTAACCTTCCATCCATCCGTCTGGCAATGAATGTTTAACATAATAATATAGGGGTATAATACAAAGAAAATAAGTGAAAAATCATTAACCTTCCATCCATCCTTCTGGCGCAACGAATGCTCTAACATAATAATCAGGAAATTGTGTATAAAGTCTTCTACATCTCTCAAGCTGGATTGATTCAAATTTTTAGTTCCGGTTGTCTGCATAAAGAGCAGAATATGTGAAAAAAGGGCATAACAGAAGAAAGGCCAAACATAAATATCATATCCACCATTAGTTGGGTTGATGGTGCTACCTCATAGTTAGATATGAGAATCTCCAAAATCCACTCAGGCCATTCGTCCATTTTTGTCAGGCTACTTCTATTTTCTGGATGACTGCAAGCCAAAATCAGAAGATCCTGAAATCAAATAGAAAGTATAAGAAGACATCAGCAGGGCTATTGTAAGGCAATATTAGTTTAGCATTTAATTGACATTTTTTTTTCCACATAAGCATAAACCTAGTATATCCCTTACATTCCACTTTCTATGTTACAACTTCATAGAGTCAGGTTAAAAATATTAACTGCAAATAATGGAAGACAGAAAATCGAAATATTGCACAAGATAACCAACTCATAATCTAAAATATCACGAGTAGACAAAAAGACCAAAAGGTATCATATAACAAGGAATTAACGAATAAAATCCCAGTATAAGCCTGTGAAAGAGAATGATCTCCAGCACTAGCATTCTTCATTAAGAAAAGTCAAGCAATTGTTATAGCCATGCTATTCAACCAGACTGTACACTTCTAGTATCAAAGAAATATCACAAATTGGCGTCATGTTTTCCTTGCTAAACTGGTACACATTTAAGCGCCCTCTCCAACACCACCGACCTTTTCCAACCCAGTAATATCTGACATGCCAAATAGACAGCCACAGAAGAAACAGAAAAGAGAAAAGAAGTGGGAGAGGAAAGAGTTTCAACCAAAATTAGGTTGTTTAGTCTGAAACCAGAGTAATCATAGCAAAGTTGCATGACACAGTTAATAATACCTGTAGTGCTCGGCTTTGCAATGTTGTTGATGCGTACGGAAGAGAACGAAGCAGAACTAACAGAATCTGAAAGTGCTCGAAACGATGACCAGAATCATGGAAGTTTAATCCATCATCTGCTGAAGACACGTTTATCTGAAAGGCAAAGAAGACATTTCAGATACTCAAGTTAAGCAACTGTGCAATGGTTTTCCCAAACATGTCCATAATGCAACCATGTTTAGTAACTCCTACATTTAAAGGAGCATAAATATCTAAGGCATATTTCTATTAACTAGTAATCATCAACATCGTTCAAGCATTACGGATGAATGGATCTGATGAGAAAATTGAAAGAAACAAATTTGAAGAAAATAAAAAAATGATAGAAGATATCCAAATTTTAACTAGAAATGTTGCTAAAGAGGTAATAGTATTGCTCTTACAGTATGAGCATGATATCATACAAAAAAGAAAAAAACAAGGAATCTAGTAAAACCATTTAATATCCAATAGCAGCCAAGCTATTTTGCAAGGTATTTGTCCTATAATTGTGTTAGTCCATAAAGAGGCAACTTTTCTCACAAAAGCCAATTTATACAATTGATTGGAAAAAACCAGAGTCCATTATGGCCAAAAATACTCCAATATATATGCCAAAAATGTCAATCAAAGTGTTAAACTGACATTGCCAAATCAAACAGAATTCACTTAAAAACAAAAAACAATACACGACAAAGAATACTGACATACCGAGGCAGCCAATAATGCCGTGTATACGTTGGATGTCATAAGCCGGTTAGGTGCTGCTTGGAAGGCCTTTTGTAGACCAAAAAGAAGGAGAGAAACCTTATCATCAAACATGGTACCTCCTCCCTCAAGCATATCGAGAATGTTGTTTTTCACATCTAGAAGAGGAGGTGAATCAAATTTCAAATGTCCAGATATCACTAAAGCACCCAAGAGGTTAATTATCCCTACAACGATACCGTCACTTTTGTCAATATTATACACATTATTTCGTGCATTTTCAGCACTTATTGAATAACTTATACCACCCAGGTTTCTATTGAAAGGATTTTCAGAGATGGATGACATCCTTTCAATGTTAGATACAATAGGACCTGTAAACTTCTCAGTTTCACGAACATTCTCATGTAAACTCAAATCTCGCCTCTCCGAGGATCCCCCATCACTATGACCAATTTTTGAAGAGGCTACTTCTGATTCATCTACATCTGTGTTGATGGAGGCTAAAGCCTCATCATGTTCGGCTAACACCTCTGGAACATCACAGTCTCCAGCTTTTGTTTCGCGCTGCAGCAGAACTAAAAGTGTTTCTATGCCACCACATGATATAAATGCCTCAGCAAAGGTTTGAGCCCTGGATTTATTTGGCTGAACTACCAACCGGTAAATGAGATGCAACACCCTGGCAACCTAAAAGGAGAGTTAACAAGAGAAGATTGTCAGGCATGGTTCTCTATGTTTTTAGGATGACAATGATATATCTATCAATTCATGCAAGTACTTGGGGATGATGACAAAATATTTGATTGTATTAACTGCCACAAAAAAATTAAACAAGATAAAAAGAAATTTAACATTGTAATTGTTTCATGAATCTGCAACGTTTGCATTTTCACTTTAGGCATTAACCACATCATTTCTTAAAATAGAAGGTATAGAAATGGCGCGAGAAAATAACTGAGAGACACATATGTACTGTTTCATTTAAGACGAGACACGTTCTCAATCAACAGTGAGCATTTACCTGATTTGATTGGGGACAGTCAACCATGAAACCCAACAAACAGCGGACATCGTCTGCTGCCAACGATGGTGGAGCTGCCACAACTAATAGTTCAATAACCACTAAAAGTTCATCAACTAAAGCATTCACTTCGCCAACAAGATGGCCATCCTTACTCGTCGAAAATGTATTGACAGAGTCACTTTCACGAACAATCCAATAGCATCGCCTGCAACCATCTAGAAGCATCTGGATAGCATTAGCATCTCGCATTACCGATGACTCGGTGAAAACCATATCAGCAAGTGATGACAAGAGTTTCTTTTGCAGTCCATAACTGCATAATCTCCAAATTTTCAGATCAAGTAGCAATGTACTGAAAAGTTGCACTTTGAGTGTATGGTTGAACTTCTGCGACTGACATAAAGAGACAATAGCAGCAACAAGTTCTTCATCTCCATCACGCTCAGAGGTGTCGGGTGAAGACAAAGTTTGCAGGAGATAATTCAAGATCCGTGATAATATTTCAGGGCCTCTACGGCGACACAACTCTTCATTGTTTCCTGGGTGCCTAATGGCCAAAGAGATAATTCTGAATATGGGAGCAGCAAGCGCAGTTGTGGCCAAAGACGAAGAATGGTGACTTCGACGTGGCTCCAGGCTATTCTCATGCACATCACTAACTACCAATGGAAGCAAGAATAAGGGACCTCCATGAGCCAAGGCCCAGAGAGCTTCTGTTGGGCGCATTCTTGTAGCAACATGCACTTGACCAAGAACCTCTGCAGGCCTTCGGAGCATCCCTGAAATGGAGACAAAGACTGTCCGTTAAGGAGAAGACGCAAGCTAAGTGGTTAGCAATGCAAAAGAAAGATGAAAATAATACTTCCTCCTACAAAGCATACAAGCCAACCCCAGAAACAAGTCTACAAATTCAGCAGCCTCCATATGACAATAAAAATATGCATACTCAAGGAAAGCATATATTACAAAAGAGCATGATATATAGTGTATGTGTAGAAAACAAATACGTGAGGAAAGACTCGCCAACCCACAAGGAGAAAAATTGAGTCCTCTGTAATCTTGAAATCTTACCTACTTAGTTTCAAATATCCTACAACCGAAACACACACATATGCACACACACAATTCATATAAGAGAAACAAACAGCATCAGCTTATCATAATAATTACAAAATTTATTTTATATAAGATATCTATATATATATATATATATATATATATATATATATATATATATATATATATATATATATATATATATATATATATATATATATATATATATACCTGCAGCACCAGAAGGAGAAGCATCTGGACAGTAACGTCCACTGAGCAAGTTCGGATGGTACAGTAGATGAAGGCATCCAGCAATTTCAGTATCCAGAAGAGCACTATCCCGTGCCATTTTTTGAATGTGTTCATTTGTTGCTAACCAAGGGGATCCAGCACCACTGCCAAATGAAGGCAGCACATCTCCTCCTCTATTAGCCAACCGTGCCATCCTTTCTGGCCCAATAGGTTCCTTGAATATATACACAGGGCCCATCTCAGCAAACAAAGGGCACTGGCGTCTGCGACGCTGTAATCCAGCCATAGTTGGAGGGGGATTAGTCCCAATGCAGCAAAATGCAAGTGGCTTAGAAATTCTCGGAAAATCAAAAGGACGACTTTCATACAAGGAACCATCAACATACAACCTCATCTCACTTTCTGACTTTCCGAGGAGACCCTGTTTGCAAGTGTGTTCAAGGCCAACAAAATACCAACATTGTGGCTTGAATGCGTAAGTAAAATGTAGAGAAGCTTTTTTTCCCTTTCCACTTCCACATTCAACAACTAAAAATTGTGCATGAAAATATGCTTCCATCCCATGATTGTCAGCCGATAAGAAACTGAACAGCCGAGGCATGTGTGCCGTGCCTTCCCCAGCTAATGCACTAGCAGCTGCAGCTGCTGACATGGGAGATGCTTTCCCTGATGTGGCAGCAGCAGCCATTGCAATTGCAGCAGCAGTGGTTGCTGTACTTATATTATCTGCAAATGATTCGATGTAGATCCAAGTTGCAAACGCAAATCCATTGATAAAAGGCCATCTGCTCTCCCCTGGACCTAACAGACCAGAGCTTTCACCATCAAACTCAAAAGTACTCGCTGGACCCCTGACCTCTTTTCCACCCATGGCTTTCTCCAACGAATTTAATAGACGAGCTGACCACGCCGTAGGGAGAGTTCTATTAATGACTTCAAGCCAGCAGTGCAGATCACCTGGGGTAAGAGAATGCCCAGCTAAGTACTGAATGCAGTAGCACAGAGGAGTCCCATCCCATTTAATTTTCTCCTTTGAAGAAATATCCTGAACAAATATTCTCTCAGCAGAGCGAAGTAGTACTCTCAGTAAACCAGCCAAAGAGCACATTGCTCTGTTCCTTGTGCAAGCACGCAAAATAGCTAGCAATCCTCTCACCATCCGAGTCCTAGGAGACATGAGACCCCCAAAATCCCCAATGTCAGGAAGCCAAGGAATGAGCTCACCTGCCACTATAGCAGCCCTAGAGTTCAGCATCACACTGGGTGGATTATCCTCATCCTCTTCAAAAGACTCAACACCTCCCATAGTGGCAAGAAGTGAATCGACGACTAAGTAAGACATAGCAACAGCCTCACCATCTCCTCCAAAATTCTCAGCACCACTAACAACATTTTTCAGCTTCTCCAAGCTTTCAGCCTTCCCCATTATAGCTGAATCTACTAAATGCAAGAGCTCTGGAGACACATTAGGCATGACCTGTTTAGGCTTGGGCTTTTGAGGTGAGTCGGCAGGAGAGTATCCACTATCTCCATAAAAATGCATAGCAGAATCAAGACTAGCTGAAGATGAGGACTCTTTGAGGTCATAATTGGAGTTTCTCTCAGGCCCAGGGCTTGAATAGCGGTTGTGATGTACCTCTGCGTCAGGGGGAGAATCAAACCCAGATGTGTCAACACTTGCGAAGGAGAACTCAAACGCATCCTCATTTTCAATAGACGAATGTCTCAACTCTTCAGGACTTAATGACTGATTTATTTCCTTACCATTTTTATCCTGATCTTTTAGTGAAACAGGCTCAAAAAGACCATCTTCTAAAACAGGAGAAGCCGAATCAACTCCTCTTAAAACATTTTCAGCACTCACATTATCTACATAATTAATAGGTATTTCTGCATTTGAAGCTTTAGATATCGCTATATTATCATCTAAACCGGTGCTTTCTTTCTGCTGCTCATGGTTCTTCCCAGAAATATTATTGTCCCCCGTTTCTTCTTCTTCCATTCCCAGAAATTTCTGCAATAGGAGTAACAGTAACCTTGTTAATTTTCTACACGCACAGTTTCGAATCACTCGAGATTACACCAAATTGCAGCACTAAAAGAACAGTTTTAGTGAAGTGGAAAATGCCAAGACTCATTCAACAATTCTCAACGCTAAGATTATTCTGGCGAAAGTAATCGTTGTTATACACCAGCTGCAATACCTGCTTCTGAAACCGGCCATTCTCCTCCATCAAGAGCCTATTCAGGCCTGTCAGCTTCCTGTTTACACCCCAAAGCCTCGAAGCTTCTTTCTTTTGCTTCTCTCCGCATCTGCATCTTCGACAAAGAGATTATTTCAAGATCCGGCCTTCCCACACAAAAAAAACTTCATCTATAGAAATCTCACAGGCATAGAAAATCGGCAAAAAATGAACAAATTATTAAAAACCAACTATTCCAACAAACAATCCTTGCAAATTAATCATTCGTACCCGTATGCACACAAGTAGCGCCCCGATCAAAAATCAATGTCGTCGTTTTTCACCCAACCACCTCTCCCCAATGCCGACCAATCGCCGCTGCCAATGCCGCCTAATCGTGTGAGAAAATCAGTGTCGTTGTTCTCACACAGCCGCCTCTGCCAATATCGACCAATCGCCGCTGCCAATATCAACCAATCGCCGCTGCCAATACCGTTCAATCGCCGCTGCCAATACCGACCAATCGCCGCTGCCAATATCTCCGAATCGCCTAAATTAATTGCGTTCCTGTTGGGGATGTTGAAAACGGAAAATTGATTTGGAGGAGAAACTCAATTTCAGAAAATGACGTATCCGTGTTGTGATGAAGAAGCCAACAAGTCTTTTCTCTTTTTTTTTTCTTTCTTTTTTTTTCTTTTTTGAAGAAAAATAAGCTAAGAAGTCGTTTGATGGTTCTTTAATGCAACATGGTTTCCTTTGATGTAATAAATTAGTATTATACAAATTAGAATTTATGAACTAAACACATGAAGTTTAGATTACGATTGTAGAATTAGTATCCCTAATTAGAGATTAAAAATTTAATTTTAACTATACTCGATTTTGTAAAGTTTCAATTCAATTAATTTTAGTATTTGGTTTTAAAGTATAGTTACACTTGTACCTCATTTAATTTAGGGCAAAGTTTATTGTGAACCCCTGAATTATGAGGGTGTGTCGCAAACATACCTCTCAATTACGAAAGGTATCAAATACCCCCTCATGTTTGTATTTTATGAATATGCTGACATCACGTATTAACTTTTTTGTTCGCTTTTGTGCGTGATCTTTTTACCGGTAGTGTAAAAGGGATCAAAGTTTATACGTGTATTATTTTGTTAACCTTTATTTTTTCTCATTTTTTTTATTTGATATTAGTTCATTTTCACTTCCTTTTTTTTCTTAACTTTACTATAATGTCCAGCTCGATCTAGTTGTTATCATAAGTTAAATTTTATATAGCAATCCTAAACAAATCATATTAGCAACTGGATACCTAATTTCTTTAATTAAACTAAGTATTATAGGAGATTAAATCACGCTAAATATTTCACTCAATGTAAGTCAAACCATCAATATATTCAAAAAAAATTGAGAGACTCAATATATTTAAACTTTGTCTCTATATGGATTTTAATTAAAAAAAATGATATTCCATTATAACCTTAAAAAAACATCTTAAACTTAACCAAATATTAAAATAAGCGATAGAGGTTGATTTGGCCAATTGATTGTTAATCCTAGGAACGGCCATGGACCAAGCCCAGGTCCTGCCAAGCCCCCGGCGAAGAGAAGGCATCCAGCCCAGATAAGCCATGGTGAGCGAGATGGGCCTCGTTGCGAATAGAGCCTAGGCAGAAGCCCAACGAGGCTAGTTCACCGAGGTTAGCCGAGCAGTCCACTTAAAGCCCACAAGATGTGCAAAAATGAGGTAGGTGGCGACCTAGCCAGCTAGACATGGCTACGGGCCGGGTCGGGTCCGGGTCCTACTTTTTCAGGACCCGAAATCGACCCGCGTGGAGGCGGGTCCGGGTCCGGGTCGGGTCCACTCGGGTCCGTCCGGGTCCGAGTTCCAAAACCGGACAAGAAAAAAAAATTAAAAATTTAATTCGGCCGGTCGAGTCCGCGTCGGGTCCGGTTCGGACCCGAGTTTATAGCCGTTGTAATTAAAAAAAATTGAATTTCAGGGTCGGGTCCGGTTCGGATCCGGGTGACCCGAGTTTATAGCCGTTGAAATAAAAAAAAGTTGAAATTTTCGGGTCGGGTCCGGGTGGACCCGAGTTTATAGCCGTTGTAATTTAAAAAAAAAACATTTTTTGAATTCCCGGACCGGGTCCGGTTCGGGTCCAGTTTATAGCCGTTACATTTTTAAATTTTGAAAAAAAAAATTATTTTTTATTCGGGTGGACCCGACGGGTACTCGGGTCATGTCCTCGGGTCCACCCGCCGAGTGGACCCGTCGGGTCTCGGGTCCTAAATATCGGGACCCGAAACCGACCCATAAATTTTCGGGGCCGGGTCCATGGTCAACGGGGCAGGGCCGAGGCGATTGCGGGGGCGGGTCCGGGTCCGACCCGGCCCGTGGCCATGTCTATAGCTAGCTACCCCTTGGCAAAACGTGATGAAAGCATCCATGTTATAAATAGCTCGAATGAAATATGTAAATTAGTATCCATTAATAGATAATTGGGGATCTTAATTGATACCGAAAGAAGTATCTTCTCTTCTCTGCCCCTTTTTTTTCTCCCTCTTCCGCCCACCTCTTCTTTTCTTTTCTATTCGTTAAAAAATCTTCTTGCAGGCGACGTCTTCTTTTGCCGCCTCCTTTTTTTCTCCACATTTTCTTCCATTTTCTTGTCAAGATCCGCCCGTTCATCATTTCACAAGCATTTTCAAGATTTGAAAGATTCTTTGCGGAAGAGGGTGTCTTTGGAATAGGAAATGAGTTTGCCTCAAAATCGCTCCATCGTCGTTGCTCCGTCGCGGAAAAGCAACAGAGTCACCGTAAACCGTCGATTCCGAAAATTCCGAATTTCCGACCGGAATTTTCGGAATCGGAATCGGAATGAGTTTTTCTATTCCGAAATTTTCGGAATTGCCTTTTGACTTCCGAAAAAAATCGGATTTTTTCCAAACCGGTGGTTTCCAATCCGATCTGTCCGATCTCCACCCCTACACAAGACACATGAAAAAACCCTGTTAGCAACATTTTATACTCTCTTCCAAACTCTCTCTCATACTTATTATTTTCCGTTAATCATTTTACCAGCGATGATCTAAAATCCGACGTTCGATGTACTTTCCGACGGTCTAGAATGAGTAGGGTGATACACGTAAACCTACGTATGAATAACCGCAAGTGTACAGTATCGCATTTTGTAGAATAGTTAATTCCAGGTATCGAACCACAGGTAATTAAGTTCCTAAATTTACCAAGTACCGTAATTGTAATATCCTAAACTTTATATAGACGATCGAAATGATGGGAGAAATGAAGCTAAAAAAAACAATAATAACAGTAACGGCCCGCCTGACAAGTGAGGAATTCCGACGTGTGATGGCTTCTAGGGTAAAATCCACCAATGTACTATTGATAAAGATCTACAAATCTGAAGCTAATGTCAATTTATATTCGCTAATCCCGACAATAAAATATCCCAACCCCCGTCTCTAGTGTAGTTAGAGTCTACCCACATGTCCGACGTCTCCGTTCAGAACTTGATATTAAGAGAGCATTTAGGTCAAGTCCTTAAGGGCTATCCGAGGTGCATCACGTCTCCGTTTCCACAACTCGAGCTACATTTTGCTAAAATCAAACGAGAAATCATCTCTCGAGTTCATTCCCATGTACAATCAATCCAACTGTTGGACAAACAATCGAAACATTTAATACAGGAAAACATAAACAGGATAACAAAACGACAAATAGATCACATATTTGAAAATCAAAATCAATGTATACGAGGTTTCATTTCCCTAAAAGAAAATGCTCAGTTCATTACAAACATAGCATCAAAATGAAGAGCACGGGAAAGCATAAACTAAACGTAAGGAAAAGCTTATTAAAAAATCGAGTCGAAACCCTCGTCGAAGCTTCCCGCGAAAAACAGGCAAAAATCGAAGAAAAGTCGAAGACAAACCGAAGAAGAAGTCAAGCCATCGAAAAATGAAGAAGCCTCATTCTATTTATAGTGGGTTTGCAAAATAAAAATGTCTTGCTTCGAAAACTGTGCACTGCTACGCCAGATCGCGATACGGGAATGATGGATCCCGATCTGGGTCTTGATAAAAAAATGTTCTGTGAGACCCCATAAATCGCGATACAGGAAGGCTAGATCGCGATCTGGCCACTCCATCAACTTCAAACACTATTTTGATCCTTTTCCAGGCCGAATTTGACAAATATGCGTTTCAAAAAGGTTGTAGCCCTCACAGTTGGATTTCTAAATCCCCTTGAATGAGCTCAATCGGAGGTCATTTGAGACAGTTATGCGTCAAATACCGAACACCGCCATAGTCCTCTAGAATGTAACTTTTTACTTGTTTGGTTTGATTGTCGGCTTCGCTTCAAAATCGTTTCGAATCGGCAAAAATAGCTTATATTTACCTAAAATTGAAATAAAACAAAAATAACATAATATATACAAATAAAGCCGAAAACCCGGACCTACGAAGACCAAACTCGAAGATTCGATAAGTAAAAATCGTGCAAAACGAACACTTATCATAGGCTTTGGAGTGAGGTCTTAAGGGCGTAGATCATACGCATAATAAAGACAAGTATGTATTATACGTGAAGGGATAAATACCCTGCCCTTATAATAGTCCGATAAGATAATGTTATCATCAAGCTTCATCTTGCCCATCAGGTCGCGATCCCGCGGCAACGCCCTTTCTCGCAGGACCCTTCGAATCTCTTCAGAGTCCTCACATTCAGCAAAAGAGAACCCCTCGCAAAGAGGAACATGTCCGAGCTTGGCTTTCGCGCGGGAACTAGAACTGGTTCCAATTGAGGCAGAAGATTTGGGAACAGAACTAGCCCAACTTCTTTTCCGCAACGAAGTCGCACGATCAACACCATTTTTTCTCTTCTCGGGGACCTACATCTCCGCCACCACCATCACGTTATTAGCAGATGTAGGCACCAGATCGCAGTTATGGTAAGGAATTATCGGTTTAGTGGGCCTCTCAAGCAAAGCTTCAAAGGTGTCGGCATCACCATAGAAAAGCTGGCAGATATTCATACATGTACATTAAGTGAACATAAATGATTAAGCGAGCACAAAAGAAGTAAATAGAATGATGAACACAAATAAGGTAACCATAGCAAACCAAAATACGCTAACATCCGGGAGTCATTTGTAAAGTTCTCCACGTGAAACCAACCTGGCCAAATGCGATCTATAAAGTCTTGCATATCTTTATTCAGCCAAGGCGTGTCAAAACTAGGAGTCTTGTCCATCATGGTAGTGGGAAAATAAAAATGGGACGTCGAGGATCACGTAGAAATAGTAGCTATCCCAGCGATGCACTTTGTTGGGATACTTGTCCATGATTTTTTTCTTTACACGAGATGATACGTAAAACATATAATGGGAAAATCTCTTCGCAATAAAACAGGCAAAGAAGCGATCAACAGTAGGCTCGATGTTTTGCCAAGATAAACTACAGTAGAAAACAAACATGAAACATATGGAATTCGGGTGGAACTGGTTAAGCGGTATTTCATACTTTAGAGAGATCCAAGAATGGAAAGGATGAATAGGGAAAGTGAGACCACCGTAAAACTGACCTAGATGAAAAGTGACAGCGTTAGGTGGGGGTAAATAAGCTCGTTCATGCTCACTCGGGCTCACTATCATGTATCCCGGGGGCCCCTCACATCGTTCATTAGCTTATCTAGGTGACTTTGATAAGCGAGCGAGGAGGTACCCAATCTCGCTCCTTGTCCCTCTTTCTTTTCTTGCTTTTCGACTTTCGTTTTGATGATTCAGGTCGCAACTCGGAT